ATGAGGGAGAACATACGATTTTTGGTCTTTTGGGCCAGGCTAACCTCACTCAGAATGATGTTCTCCAATTCCATCCATTTACCAGCAAATGATAACATTTCGTTCTTCTTCATGGCTGCATAAAATTCCATTGTGTATAGATACCACATTTTCTTAATCCATTCGTCAGTGGTGGGGCATCTTGGCTGTTTCCATAACTTGGCTATTGTGAATAGTGCTGCAATAAACATGGGTGTGCAGGTGCCTCTGGAGTAACCTGTGTCACAGTCTTTTGGGTATATCCCCAAGAGTGGTATTGCTGGATCAAATGGTAGATCAATGTTCAGCTTTTTAAGTAGCCTCCAAATTTTTTTCCAGAGTGGTTGTACTAGTTTACATTCCCACCAACAGTGTAAGAGGGTTCCTTTTTCCCCGCATCCTCTCCAACACCTGTTGTTGGTGGTGTTGCTGATGATGGCTATTCTAACAGGGGTGAGGTGGAATCTTAGTGTGGTTTTAATTTGCATTTCCTTTATTGCTAGAGATGGTGAGCATTTTTTCATGTGTTTTTTGGCCATTTGAATTTCTTCTTTTGAGAAAGTTCTATTTAGTTCACTTGCCCTTTCTTTATTGGTTCATTAGTTTTGGGGGAATTTAGTTTTTTAAGTTCCCTATATATTCTGGTTATCAGTCCTTTGTCTGATGTGTAGTTGGCAAATATTTTCTCCCACTCTGTGGGTGTCCTCATCAGTTTAGAGACCATTTCTTTTGATGAACAGAAGCTTTTTAGCTTTATGAGATCCCATTTTTCTATGCTATCTCTTAGTTGCTGTGCTGCTGGGGTTTCGTTGAGAAAGTTCTTACCTATATCTACTAATTCCAGAGTATTTCCTACTCTTTCCTGTATCAACTTTAGAGTTTGTGGTCTGATATTAAGATCCTTGATCCATTTTGAGTTAATATTGGTATAGGGTGATATACATGGATCTAGTTTCAGTTTTTTGCAGACTGCTAACCAGTTTTCCCAGCAGTTTTTGTTGAAGAGGCTGCTATTTCTCCATCATATATTTTTAGCTCCTTTGTCAAAGACAAGTTGGTTATAGTTGTGTGGCTTCATATCTGGGTCCTCTATTCTGTTCCACTGGTCTTCATGTCTGTTTTTGTGCCAGTACCATGCTGTTTTTATTGTTATTGCTTTGTAATATAGTTTGAAGTCAGGTATTGTGATACCTCTAGCATTGTTCTTTTGACTGAGTATTGCCTTGGCTATTCATGGCTTCCTGTGTTTCCATATAAATTTCACAGTAGATTTTTCGATCTCTTTCCAATGTCATTGGAATTTTGATGGGAATTGCATTAAACATGTAGATTACTTTGGGAACTATAGACATTTTTATTATGTTGATTCTACCAATCCATGAGCATGGGAGATCTCTCCACTTTCTATAGTCTTCCTCAATCTCTTTCTTCAGAAGTGTATAGTTTTCCTTGTAGAGGTCTTTCACATCCTTTGTTAGGTTTACACCTAGGTATTTGATTTTGTTTGAGGCTATTGTAAATGGAATTGTTTTCATACATTCTTTTTCCGTTTGCTCATTGTTAGTGTATAGAAATGCTAATGATTTTTCTATGTTGATTTTATATCCTGCTACCTTGCTATAGCTATTGATGATGTCTAGAAGCTTCTGAGTAGAGTTTTTTGGGTCTTTAAGGTATAGGATCATGTCGTCTGCAAATAGGGATATTTTGACAGTTTCTTTACCTATTTGTATTCCTTTTATTTCTTCTTCTTGCCTAATTGCTCTGGCTAGGAATTCCAGTACTATGTTGAATAGGAGTGGAGATAGTGGGCATCAAAGACCTTTGATTTGGTACTTCTTAAGAAGTCTGTGCTGATAAAAATCATGGCATTCCAGGATGAGAAAGAGCAATAGGTCCCCAGACTAGCTTTGCGTTTGTGGTGCAGGAACAGACAGAGAGCACACATTTGCTGAGGAGACATCTGTGAAGAATCCCCTGATAGACATTAAGATATGAAGGCAGGGAGAGAGTGGTTTGGGGGCTGGATGGCCTCTTCCTGGTCAACCTTCCAGTCACCATCCGGTCCTCCTCCTGCTTCTGGAAGCATCTTCCACCCCCACCATGCCCTTTCCCAGTCTAGACCTCAGGCAGAAGAACCCTGCCCCGACGTCAAGACACCCAGAAAGCCAGCCAGGGTCTCCACTCATCTGTGACCCTGAGCTGCTGTCTTGCAGCCTGCATAGTATCAGGTGTCTTCTTGGTCCTGCTCCTCCCTGGAGTATCAGGCATCTTTCTGTGCTTGGATCAGATGGGGAGCCTGTTCCCTAGATTCCCAGCCTCACTTTTCATCTAACCCTGGAGTACTCTGAATGGTGATGCTAGCATTGGTGGTGAGTGTAATCTCACTCTCTTTAAGGATTCTCTCTGTCTGTCTGTCTGTCTATGTATCTGACTGTCTATCTCCAAATCACAGCTGTAATTTGGCTCTCCCAGCAGTCCCACAGGGCATCTCTGACCTCCAGTTTCAAGTGGTGGTAAAAGACTCCTACAAGGATTTGTTTTCCAGGTGCTTCTATACTTTGATTGTTTCACCACAGCCCCTGCCACCTCCGTGGCGGGAGAACAGGGCCATAACCCAGGCGTGCAGATGAGGGTTCACAAAGGCAACTGTGGAGTATTTGGGATAAGAACACATGCATCTGAATCCTGACTCAGTGGGTTCTTTACACCTACTTCCTCAGGTGTAAAATGAGCACTACAGTATCTGTGTCACCTGTCATACTGCATCATTGTTAGGATTAAATAATGAGTTCAGAATAATTTCAAGTATTAACATCCTAATGAGTTCCTATTCCTTGACCTGTTCTATCATTTAAAGAATTAGTAATTTTTTTTTTACAAAAGGGAGAATAATGTAACAAAGCCAACATATCTGTCATCCTTTTCAACAGTTATCAGAGATGGCCAGCTGTACCCCCACCCACCCCCTCCTTTCATTTATTACTCAGTTTTCAAACTAGTGAGGTGTTTCCCTAACGTCCTCCCAAGAAGACTAATGTTTATTTAGAAGCGTTTTTAGATACTTTTAAGAATTCACAGACTTAAATACATTTGTTATTATCCTTGCTAATGTTCCACGTGACCAGGGAAGCCATTCTGGTTGGCGTCAGAGTCCTTTAGGCAGGACTCCAGCACTCTTTGACACTTGTTTGCTTTTTTTAGTGGATGTGGTATGCTGGGCTGCTCTTCTACCCTTGCTGCCTCAAATTTAGATCTAGCCTTTCCTCCCAGGAAGCCTGAGTTCAGTTCACAGCCTGAGTGCTGGGGTGCTCATGCATGCTGTGACAGGCTTGGTCTCTAAGCTTTACGTGGAGCAATGAGGGGACATGTGCATGTACACATCCACGCATGTAGGTAACTTGTGGCATTCACACTGATGCTCCCAGTTCACAATCAGGACTGCACAATCTTTAGCTAACTCATCAACCCTACGTGTAAATCTCAGCAGGAGAAATCTTACTTTTCAGCAGCATTACCATTATGACTCACTGATGCCATGACGAACGTAGAAAGTCTTACAGTAATCCTGCTAACAGTACCATCATGCCGTCTGTGAGATAATTATTTGAAACAGTTCACTATTTTTGAAGGGGGTAAAAACCCCTTCCAAGGACAGATGTGTCTTTTCAGACTTAAGATATATCCATTGGTTGCTAAGGAAAACTTGTCATTTTTTGGTTAACTAATTTTTTCCTAAAATAAAGACTTTTCATGATAACAAATATATCCATCTAATAAAATGTAGTCAAATTACCATGTCTTAATTTCTCTGTTAAGATAAATTAACACGCTACCAGTGAACTCATGGGTTCATTTGTTTCATCTTCTATTCATTTTAGGGACTTAAATTTTTTTCACTGTGTCTTATAATTATCTCAGATAGTTACATATTGCAAAGCCACACAACCAAGTGTATTCAAAGTCCATCTCCTGTCCCCTCCCATAGGTCTTTTGAAATGCACTGTGTGCTTTGTTTGTATATTGTCTTTTTTAAAATAAAAGCACCTCCATCTAGACCCTTCCCCTTTCTTAAATAAATGGTAGCATATTAAGTACTCTTTTTCCTATCACGCTTTTGTCACTTGATACCCCTGGAGATCACAACACACGTGTCTAGGGTGCACCTCAAACTAAGGTTGCTAAGTCAAAGAGTGAATGTTTGATAGATGTGGTCACATTGCCCTTACTCAGGTGGATGTCACAATTTCCTGCAGACACACTGTAAGGCAAAGCACTTACTCTGTTATCTGTACTGAGAAAGATGAAGTGATTGCTCAGCATAACTGGAACTGGGACCTGAACGCCCCCAACACTAACTCACAGTCTAGTAGTCTGACTGACCCACTCTAACATACCTTCCCCACTTTACAGATGGAGAACCCAAGATCATGTAGGCAAGTGACCCACCCTTAGTGACAAGACAAGCTAAAACTTCAAATCCAAGCCTCCCAACTCTGAAGTTAGATCTCCTTTCAATGTGTATGGATTGATTTATGGTGAATTTGTTTTGTTTGTCTGCAGATAGGGAAGAAAAACCATAGTGTCCTAAGGAAGTTAAGGCATTAATGACATGCTTATGGTAAATTCTCCCTTGGGTGTATGAAAGATTCCTCAAGATATGGCTTAAGTTCCTTCAGGGGAACAGGGAAGCAGCAATTAGACTATGGTGTCTGGGCACTCAGAAATGTTTTTGCAGGTGAGTGAGACAAAGGCACTCTCCAAAGACCAACACGTTTAAGCACCTCAGATTCTGTCATTACTTTCAGAGAGCTTTGAGCTTTGAGCAAAGATGTCATTCTGCTGTGCAAAACTCCAAATGCATGTGGACAAAGATGTGATTTCCCCAGTGAATGAACAAGCTGTGACCCACAAAGCCTTTCCCCCCATCCCTCCTAGAGTAACCCTGGGGTTCTCCTTTGTGCTTTCTTTGAGACAGGTTGATTGACTTATGTGCAATTTGGGACACTGGAGTTTCCCTTCCCTTTGCAGACTGGAAAGGAGCCTCTGGTGTTGCAAGGAGGAGGCTGAATGAGGCGGAGAAGGTGAGTGGAGCTTGGGTCTGAGCACAAGTCAGAGGGTGGGGGTAGGTGGACATTGCTACCCCTTGCCCCTTCTGTTTGATGAGAGACAGCTTCTTGCCTCCTTTTGCCCAAGAAATCTTCTGAGTTGTTGTCTGTGAGCTGGCCACAGAGTCACCCGCTAAGGCCCACCCTACAAGGACTCTAGTGCTGGGGAAGCCCAGATGCCTTCTTCCCAGCAGGTGTGTTCACCTGGCATTAGAGTTGCCTCTGTCCCCCTGTCCACCTTAATTGAAAGATTGGGAAGCAGCATTGTTAGTGTCCCAGAGCCCACACCGTGGGAGCCTCCTGAGTGACAGCCCTGGCATATGGAGGGCAGTCCGAGAGCCCCTCCCCTGGGCAGATCCCGGCCTGGCAGATGGATGCAGTGAGCAGAGAGGCCGGCACCACTGGGCCACACCCCATGTGCAGGATCTGCATTGTTCCGTTCTGGGTTAGAGTTTCTGCTGCCCCAGCAGCTCCTGCTGTCTCGGGTAGGGAGGCAAGGATAACACACAAGAAACAAGAGCTGCCGTTTTATCCGAGGAGTACTTGGCAATAGATCAAAAGCTGGCCACAGGGAGGCTGCTGGGCTGGGCAGTTTGACCCGGAGACCTGGGCAGAGAAGAGTCTCCTTATGCTCTGAGTTTGGGCATCTCTGCGTATGGTAGTGTGTTCTCCTTGTCGCAGCTGCCTCTCCAGGTGTCCCTCTTCCCAGAAAGAGTAGGGGCTGGGGCTGAGGAGGCAAAAAGGATGTTGAAAGGAGGAGGAAGAATGCACTGGTGATGTGGTTCTGGGATCTGGCCCTACTTGCTGTGTGGCCTCTGAAAAGTCTTTCAACCATGCTGGGCCTCGGTTTCCTAGTTTATACTGTGGGGATAGTAATGAACATCTTGAGATCAAAATTAAGAGTGGACATATGAAGAGCCCTGCACGGTGCCTGGCATGTAGTAAGTGCTCAATACATGCAGGCTTATCATTTCTCATAACAGCACAAATAGACTTGTCACGGAATAGTGTCAGGTTTCAGGGAGCACCTGATAGACTCATTTGACCTCAGGGGCTTTTCATGCCACCATCATTACATTGTTCACTAAAAGTTGTACTGGAACATACTGATCTGGGGGTGTGGCACACTATTTTTTTTTTAGTGTTTATTTATTTATTTTTGCTTTACTGTCTATGGCAGACACTGATCACGAAAGCTGTGCACTGGTTTATTTTAATGGGCACATATAACTACTGTGTGGGAACAGATCCCAGGTTTGCAACAGAACCAGGGAGTAGTTACTCCAGCTACCCTCTGGGTACTTTTTCATGCAACCTCCCTACTCTATCCCTGTCCTCCAAAACTCCTTCACTGCCCTCTTGGGGCACATACGGGCTCAGTTGTCCAGCCAGGCCCCCCTAAAGAGCCTGGGGCTTCTTGTATGTGCTGATAACAACTGAAAGTCCACAGTGGAGACCAGAGCAAACTCAGTCCAGCTTGTGCCTATGGACACATCCAGTCTCACCAGCAGTCCTGAGTATTAGCCCAGAAAGTTGTCCTCTTTATACTGTGGCACTTAATGAATTGTGCCATCTGACTGTCACTATAGCTCTATGATGTGATCGGGGCTGGTGTCATCATTTCCATTTGATTGATGAATAAACTAAGGCTCTGAGAAGTTATTTTGCCCTAAAGTCTACAAAACTAATTAGCGTAAGAGTCCCCACTAGAAGGTCCATGCCTGAATTGAGGGCTCTTCTCTTGCCATGACGTCACACTGCCCCCTCCAGCCTAGGGCAGCAGGACAGTCACCTATCAGAGACTGTCAGACACAGAGGAACCTAAAGAAGAAAGAGTGCAGATAGTGTATAATAAATGCAACAGGAACATATACCTGTGGCCGGAGCAGTACGTTCTGAGAGGGACCTATCTTGTTCTTTACCTGGTGACAATAGTCCCCACTATAACTACCATCATCTGAGTGCTGTGCACTGAGGTACAGGTCCCATGTGTCCCTTCTCACAGCAGCCTTATATAGGGCCACTTAACACTCACATTTTACTGATGACAGAATTGAAGTCCACAGGGGTTAGAACTTGCTCAAAGCCCCCATCTAAGAAAGTGCCTGGGTTCAAATCCCAGCAGTGCAGCTCTGACACCTGTATGGTTGACACTTAGGAGTTGGGGCTGGAGTGTGTTTCTAGGGTGGCATGTTCCAAGTTTCATCAAAACATTGCATAATGTTCTGAGCATGTGTCCACAGGGCTCCAGGTGCGAATGTGACTTCACAGCTCCAGCTGGGAAGCCTCCTAAGGAGTGAGCCTCGCTTTCTCCAGCTTTCCTCCCTTTGTTACAGGCCTCTGCCATCTGGAGCCTTCCCCAGGCATCTGCTCCTGAGCCCCACCCTTCTCCTTATAGAAGAAGGGCTTCAGCTCTTTGTCAGCTCAGGTCACTGGGAGCAAACACCTGCCCACTGACGCATGGCAGAGAAGCCACCCAGGCCTTCAATTTCCCATATGGAGCCATTTGGTTAATTGCACTTACACTCCTAAGCCCCTCTGCCTGTCAGCAAGAAGCTGGGCCTCCCCTCTCCAGAAACCTCACCACAGGCCACCACAGCCACAGCGCAGGCTCAGGACACAGCTGTGGGTGGGTGGGGGCGGGACCGTGCACTTACTTAGGGACTGCCTTTGACTTCCATTCCCCTCTGCCCCAAATAGGTTCCAGATCACTGAGTTAGCGCCTACACTTAGCCAGCTGTTCCTGTGGGCACAGAGATTGGCAGAGAGAGGTGTGGGGCCGTGGGTGGCAGCAGAGAAAGCTGGTCCCCTCAGAAACTCCTGCTGTTGGCCTCTTTTCCACTGAAGTGCTGTCATCACATCGAGTCCCCTCTCAGCCTTTTCTGCCCATCCCAAACCCATCTTTCTATCTGAGGGCTGGACTGTTAGACTTGACACAGCAGGTCACCCTCTGAGTTCCTGTTTCTAATCAGAGGACCAAAGATTATGGCAAAGAAAGACCCTTGCAGGCATACCATGGTAGCCAACGATGTCTGTGAGGTCCACACTGTCTCTGATGTTCACATGCATGGCCACCAGTACTTTGTGACCAGACTCCAAGACAAACAGCGCATCTTAAAAAACTCACCCTATCTGTTGCCTCCCCCTGATGGTTCCCCTGTCCTCCAGCCTCCTGCATTTTTGGGTCCCCTCAACCCTGAAGAAGCCTGCTGCCTGCCTGCCTACCCATCTTGATGGCAGTTGGATACAGACTGCTGTTGTACAGGACGCAAATGCAGAAGGCTGAGGGAAGGAGGGTCAGATGCAGCTCCCTCCTGCTGGCTCCCTTTTTCCTCCCGTGCTCCACTTGCCATGGCAGACAGGAATTTTAAAAATGCAACTGGGGATGTACTATCCTTGGAATAGCAGCAGCTAAATCACTGTTGACACAGAGGAAATCACTCAGAACTGACCCAGCTGGGTGCTGGTGGAAGGGGCTGGCAGAATGTGGTACATGGAGACTTTGGCAAAAGCCAGCATGGCAGAGTAGAGAGGGAGCCCAAGGGTGCTGGGGCTGGTCTGGGTTTCTGCAGGAGCCCCCCTTTGTCTCTGGCAGGAATTGACAGTGACTGTGCAGAGAACCGTGTGTTGTCTCTAGAGTGAACAGTAGTTTCTTGGCCATCACAATGCAGGGTTATCTGCACAGACGCTGCTTTATAGATGTGCTAGGTGGATTTGGAAGCCTAGCTTGCCCAAAGCCACCTAGCAAAGCAGTTCACCAGTTGTAATTTAGGGGAAAGGAGAAAGTCCCTTTCTAATGCCTTGGGTTAGGTGCTAGCCATATACATGAACTCATGAATTCTTTTAATAACCATTACAGCAACCTTGCAGTGAAGAAGTGTATTTTTCCACTCTTAAGCACAAGAAAACTGCAGGTCTGAGAGAGCAAACACAGGGCCAAGGTGAGACTGAATCTCACGTTGTGTGGCCACACTTGCCTTTCATGTGTCAGAGGAATTACAAGTTGCTTCTTCTCGAACACTGGCATGTTCCCCTGGTCTGCACAGTGTCCTAACTGACTTCTGGTCCACCACTTAGAAGCCCTGCCTGTTCTGCTCTGTGCTGACACTCAACGTAGTGAATGCTGGGGACAAAGGAGAAGATACTTCCTTGTCCCCTGATTATGGGGCTGAAATCACCTCTCTTTCACCTACCCCAAGTTTCTCCTATAGACTCGCCTGTTTTTTTTTTTTTTCTACTAGACTCAGCCTGTAGTTTGTTCAAAATAGGCTTAGAATCCTCCCAAAGAGGGAGGAATGAGTGGCTTAACATGAGGGAGGTCGTGAATAGATAGATGCATCTGGATGGTGGGTCCTCAGAGGACCGTGATCTGGACTCCAAATGGACACACAGTTCAGGGGGCCTGGGAACCCAACAGGCACTGAGGTTGAGATAAGGATGGCTGGTGAGGCTGCACAGCTGGCTTCGTTTTGAAAAGCTGATGAAAGAAGAGGGAGATGAGAAGAGGTAGCTTCCAGCTATTCTACAGCCACCTTCCTTCTGTGAAGTATTTTATCACTTACTATAAGATAGCAACTAAAGAGTTCACTACTTGCTTAAGATGGCACAGAAGAACTTAACCTAGGTCTTTTTTTTTTTTTTTTAGCTAACTAATATGCAGTATTAAAATTATAAATCTCAAAGCCTAATGCCTCCTTAAACTTTTGTTTTCATTTATAATTTAAGAACTTTCTTTTTAAATCTTATAAACATTAACTATCATTTGTTCAGTCCCATTAATAATTTCCTACCTTTGAATATTTGAAACTTTATTTGAAAATGGAACCATTCATTTTCCTTCATGAAGTTAACAATCTTCCAAGTCTTCATGAATGCTTTTAAATTACAGCTTTAGTGAGACATAATTCATATACTCTAAATTTATATATGTAAAGTATTTCAAGTCAACGATTTTTAGTGCATGTCATGTGTTTAGT